CGAATGTAAGGCTATTCACAGCATTTTATAAACTTATAAAGCTTTTCTGTTCTCTATTTTACTACATCATGTACATTTTTACCGAAATTATATTACATTTTTTCCCAAAAACATTGCAGAAGATTCCAATCAAATCAATATCAGCAAAAAAGAATAATATCATTTAAAAATAAAGTTTTTACATGGATATGAAAACCGAACAAAAAAGAAGACGCGTTATACTAAAAGAAGAATATGAAATAACTCTACATGATTTGTATAAATCAGTATATGCTGTAATATTATCAATGTTGAAATTAGTGTTAAGAAATACTGTTTTACCAAAGCGTTTGATTGAGTGTCCATTAGGAATTAATATTGATTCAAGTGTTGTAGCATTTTGAAAAGACCTTTCCTCAATTATATTAATAGTGCTTTGGAAAACAATAGATTCAATTGTTTCATGATAAAAAAATGCATGAAACTGGACTTTTTTGAGAGATCTAGGGGCTACATAAACCTTCAAACCATTTTTCCGCGGTACATGAATAAGAGTATCAATATTTTTATTGTAAAGGATATAATCAACTGATGCATAACTAGGATTTAAAGGATTTACTACAATTTTCTCTAATTTGTGTGCATAATTGAAAGGATTCCCTGTTGATATTTGAATTGTTGAGGCAGGAATATCAATTTCACGAACAGGAATATTATAAAAAGCGTCATCATCGATTTGTATAAGTGTGTCTGGTAATTTTATTTGTGTAATACTTGAATATGATAAAGAATATAAAAGTAAACGCTCACATGAGGAATCAATGATGAGAGACGAGTATTTAGCATCAATACTATTGTTGTAGGAAAGTGAGCCGCTTGGACAATGGACATATGCCTCTATTAGAAAACTTTTTTTAGTTTTGAATACTTTTTTGAGAGTGAATTGAATTTTAATGCAAATAGAATACAAAACTCAACCATTTTATAAATCTTAAGAATATATTTGTCGACCAAATAATTCCTATCGTTATTATATGAACGAAGTTTTTCCACAATAAGCACAGGCAATGATCCTAACTCATCTTTATCAGCTCCAAATTGATCTGAAAGATCATCAACGTAAGGATTTCCACCAATTGTTCCGATCAATTCAATCTTTTCGAATTAATTAACAATTTAGAAAATATTATCCATGAAAAAAAAAAAAAAAAAGGTATTGGGGCTTCCAGGCACTTCGTGCCCTCTAGCCCCGAAGATGTTTAGTATAAAGCCGCTTTTTAACTTCACTTAAAATGCCACGTAAGCTACGTAAGAATATACGTAAGAGGAAGAGAGCATTGAAACATCCAATAGTAAGACTGACACCACAACAACAGTTGCAACAACAAATGCTGAATGACCCCACTATGTTGCAACAAATGTCAAGCAATCCTATGCTTTTAAACCGAGTTCTTGGTGCACAGAGTGGAGGTTTAAGAGCGGCACTTTTAGCGAAAATGGCAGGCTATGGTGGAGCTGCAGACGGAACAGCCTATAACCCTCAAAGTCAAATGAATTTGAGTTCACTCAAAAATCAAATAGCAGATGTCAAAAAGTCAAACATAGACATACAGAAGCAAATAGGTGAAAACGAAAAGAAACTAGAATATGACAGACACACAAAGAAACTCAATGAGTTAAACGTAGAGAAAAAGAAGAAAGAAGAACAACTGAAAGAACTAAGTACAGAGCAATATGCGAAAAAAGTGTCAGAAAAAGCAGCAGAAGTAGCAAGAATGGAACAAGATGTCATAAATTTGAAAAACCATACTACTCGATATAAAGTACTGAAAGATGAAGAGATAAAACAAAAAGCCCTGAAGACATATATGGATAGCGATGAGTATAAAAAAGAAGTTGAAGCAAATGTAAAGGCAGAAAAACTTTTACAGTTGCAAAACCAAACCGTACAGTATGAAAACTTAGCACAAGAAAGTAAAAATAACGACGCGGCTATGCAAAAGGCAATGAAAAGCGCAGAATATATAAAGCTAACAATGACTGGTTAGATGCCCAAGCCAACGCTAAAGCAGCCCAGCTTATAGGGTCAATAAGGACAAAAATACAAGCGGATGAAGACAGTTCAAATGAAGCTTTAACAAATGCTGACTTTAAGAACGCCTTCGAAGCTCTTCATAGTAAGGTGAAACAAGTGAACGACTTCTCATCTGGAAAGAAACTGAAGTCTGAAGGTTTCGACAAAGAGTTAAAAGAAGTAGCACAAAATATGACGAAAATAACAGATGCAGCAACGAGACAGGCAGTTCAAAGTGCCTATGACGCCGTTAGAGCAACTGTTGTGAAAAGTCAAGAAAAAGAGTTACAACAGACCAAAACAGACCTAGTAAATGCTTTCTTAAGAACGAAAAGTCAGGTAGGACATTACGCTGCAGATGGAACATATGTGCCAGCTGGTGGAACTTATATACTAGCTAGTGGAACTTATATACCACCAAACCCTCCAAGAGAAGCACCTGCACCAGGACTACCTAAAACATTTACATCGTCACATGGACACAGACACAGGCATGCACCAAAACCAACACAACAACCAGCACAACAACCACCTCCACAACCAGCACAGCAACCAACAGTTCAAAACCCTGCACAACAACCACCTCCACAACCAGCACCACAACCAACAGTTCAAAACCCTGCACAACAACAACAACCACAAACAGAGCAAGGACATAAAAGAAGTAGAGAACAAGGAAACCAAGAATTCTTAAAAAGGCTTAAGGAAGACTATGGTTACCCAGATAGTATTGACTTTAGTGACAGATATAAAGAAGCTATTAGAAAGTTCAAGGATGGAAATACTGACCCGAACCTATTTAGCTTTATGGTTCAGCATAAAATCGGATATAATTTCAAACCTGGAAAATACAAGCTCGCTAAGGATATGATTTAATAGCATATCATCCAAATGACATGGATGAATTTACTCCGAGATATTTGATGTCAGAGCTAAATGACAATTCAACTCCCGTCATGAAACGCGTAAAAAATAGAGACGGAACGAAAGAAGAAAGGTTTATGAGTCCGGATGACTTAGAAAGGGAAGTTGTTAAAAACGGTCTCGGAATATATGAAATGCCAGCAGATGAGGTACAAGAAACTCCACAGGAAGAACTAGTTCAGATACAACCAGACATGGAAGAAATAGTTCAGCAACAACAGCTAGAAGAGCCTGAAGGAAACGAACAAGTCCCTCCTTTGGAAACTAACTTCACAGAACTAGATGAAGATTTGGAACAGCCGAAAAATCTTGACCCTCAACAAGTGTATGCGGAGAATATGGAATATTTCCAAGAGTCTAAAAAAAATTCGGCTGACATAGTAGAAGAATATCGAAAAATGTTCGCCGACATACAAAAGACTCCAACACCAGATGAAAATATTCAGCATAGAATGGAAGTACTGAAAGAAAATGTACACAAATACAACAACCCTTTTTACTTACGAGCATTTAACGTTCAATCTTCGGATGAACTCGGTGAAAATAAAAGGTTAAATTTCAAGAAAACATATAGAAATGAAACATTGTTTAAAGTTCATTCAGAACCTAACCAAGATGGAAACAAACCTACTTTTGTTTCTGCAGACGATGGAACTACAATGAGATGGGGTCATAAAGCTAACCCGGATAGGTGGTTCATAAACTTACAACCACAATTCCAAGAAGTTGTAGACGCAATGGAAGTCAATGGTGAACCAGATATAGCTGGTATTTTCAGCGCGGCTTTAATGCCATTGAAAGATATGAAACATGCAGATATTTTGGACCAGTATGAAATGAACATGGCTGATGGAAATATAACACCTGACGTTCTAGAACATTTATCTCAAAGAACTACACAGAACCATAGAGATGGTATATTTGGTGAAGAGTTTAGAAAGAAAGTTAGGGAGGGAGAAGGAAGAGAACCTATTGTACATGACCTTGCAAACGAAAGTTTACAAAATGTCATAAAAACTTACTTTGCAGACAATGAACTGAGAAGGGATGAATATTTAAGAAAACTCAAATGGACAGTACCAAATGAAATGTTAGTATTGAAAAACATGTTCCTTGACAAAATAAAACCAACTACAGAAATAAACGACGCAAGACTGAAAGATTGGGTAAAAGCTTTCCCATTCACAAAAGATATAGTTGGTAACATGGAAAGAAAACCAGAATGGCTACAAAAACATATATTTGGAAACGAGCTTATTCCATATGGACAGGCACTGTTTGAAGAGCTTGAACCGGAAACTCAGGAAAGAGTCATGCAAACAATAAGCGACGACTCAAATACAAACTATGACAAACTCTTTCTAGGATATAGGTTACCTGAGATGGGCGACCAGAGCCCAAAGGCAAAAAGGACATGGGAAATTTACAACATACTAGGTGAACATGAGGCAAAGATGCAACAACTTGAAGCAGAGGGCAAGTTACCAAAAGCGACACCAAAGAAGAAGAGAAGAGTAGAACAAAGTGAAAGTAGTGAAGAAGTAACTTCATCTAGTGAAAGTAGTGGCAATGAAGGAAAAAGAAGAGTTAAAAACTCAGCCAGGAAGAAAGTAAAGCTTGGTCCACGTGGGTTCTATTATGATATATAAATCCAACTATTCTATATTTTTACCCATATGAAATGTACGCCGCTCAGAATATAACACCAACAGTTTTGGATGCCATGAATGGAAATGTTTCCGAATGGTATAACGAATGCGACAATGCCATTAGAAGGTCAGAAATAGTTCCTGGAACTTACGAATATACAACTGCTGTTTCTTATGGAAACGTAGGTGAGTTTGGAGAAGGTTCTTCAACAACAGTAGATATTGCTTGCGACAGGTTTCATATTATTTCTATTGACAACTCTTTCTTATACGTGGAACAAGACATTGAAATAAAACCTTCTGCCAAGTTGTCTGACAAGAAAGGTTGCAATGGAATTTTCTATGTCGGATACCAATATGCTCCAGAAGTTTTCATGGGATATAAGATATATTCTAACTCTGACTTAGTTCAAACAGTAACATGGGCAAACTATGAATGGTTCGCTTTGAGAAACTCAGTACAACCACAAGCTAGAGAACAAACAGACCAGTATGCAACTATTGAGAAAATAAGAAGACTTGACCCTAACGTTCCAGGAGTTTATGTTGACCTTTCTGGACAAACTGCAGCAGCAGTAACCAAAGTAAAACTGAAACTTAGAGTTCCTTTGTCATCTTTCCTCATCTTCAGGTTTTTAAGATACTTGCCAAACTGGGCAGGAAAAATTTCTATCGAACTTACTCCAAGCAAAAATAACTTAGTCATTGCACCAACGCAAGACCCATTCACTCTTACTGTAGCTGGAACTGGTGGAGCCAAGTTCTGTGACTTTTGCAAAGACAAAGTTGACTTAGACTTTGGTTTCTCAAACCTCAACACTGAAGTAAACTACTACTTCAATGCTGCTGGAACTGCTTGGGACCCAGTTAAGTTCACATGCGAAAAGTTTGAATGCAAGAGAATAGAAAGCAGACTTGCAGTCTATATGTTGGACCCAGATATTTCAAATGCTTTAGCTGCCAAATATATTGCAGTTCCACTTATGTTCCCTATACACCAAATATCTGTCAAAGACTTTGCAGGTGAAGTTGGAAACCAAAGTGCTGACCCAGGTGCAAGAACAGATATTGCCTTAACAACTGCAATGAAACATGCAGATACTATGTTTGTACTGTTCAGACGAACTATAAATGACTATTCTTGTTTCTACAACCCTGGTATTAAATATCATATAAACATAGATGGCAAATACTATCCAAGAGAAGAATATTCTACAGTTGAGGATATGAGGTCATACAACTTGACATTAGATGCTATGAACTTTAACAACAACTTCACAACAACCATTAACCCTGAAATGCAAAGTTCTATTATGCCATATGTGAAAGTATGGACTCATACAGGAGCTCAAAACACTCAATATACAAATGGAGACCGTTCAAACTTTTGGCTTGGCATTCCATTTGCTGACTCAGAAGACTTTATGGGTGGTATTTCAACTGTTGGTACAGTTCAAATACAATATACTGGTGACAGAGACGGTCCAAATGAATTGAAAGCAAAGAAGTTTACAAAACCAATAGCACTTTTCACGGAAGATGCTCTTTTGAAGATTCGTTCGATGAAACCTGCTGGGGCTCCTCAGATTGGTATAACGACAGCTTCCATCGAGCAGATTTTGGCAGCAGGTCAGTAAGTTGTTCTTGAACTGACTTCTCTCCGTCAAATATTGACAGTACGCCAGTTTTGATATAATATTGTATTAAAAACTTTCCTTTAGAAATATCTGTAAGTTTTGTTGTTATATTTTTGTCAACGTCAAGAACTTTCACCATCTCGGTTATACCAACTTTCTTTGCTTTATGAAAATATTTTGGTTCAGCAAAGACTGCTATTCTATAACATTTTCCATTGTTTGTATAAAGAACTATTCTATCAATGAACTTGTATTGTTTGTGTGTGTAAACTTTGTTTTGCTTCAATTCGAAGAGATACTCAAATACGTCCATCTTTTTATTCTAAGTAAAATGTCATTTCCGAAAATAGAAGCGTAAGTGTTTCAAAAGGTTTAATGGCGGTGGCAGATGTGAAGTTAAATTCACCAACTCAAACAAACAGTCAAAGTGTTGTTGTCAATGTCAAAGAAAGAGATGTTGAAGTGGGGAAACCATACGAAGACGAAGATGGTATAACAATAGTTCCTGTAAAAGAACAACCAACATATCCTGAAGTTAGCAGAGACTTAAGTTCTGTTGCAGATATTCGAAACGACTACCAACAACTTAAAGACAAACTTAAAACTCAGGAGAAGATTGTCAGGCTTTAGGTCTAATGTTAAACTTGGTTGAGCACAACCCTGTAAAAGTGAATCATATGTCATTGCACTCATGAAATTTTGAAAGAACTATTGAAACTTTTGACAGAGGCAGACGATATAAACATCAAAGAAATAGAACCCGACATTGCTTGCTGTGGTGTTTCATACAATGTCATTGACAAGATATACGTTATGAAAGAAGGTGAAACGTTGAACTTAAAATATAGTTTCCCAGACGTCATAAAAATATTTGACGACCACAACATTTCATTAAAATTTACTTGCTAAGTAAAAATGTCAAAACTTCTTGAAAGATGTTTGAAGAAAAACAATATAGACTTTATTTCATGTAAAGGACTTTACACACTTTTGAACGATATGAAAGACCCTGTTTTGTTTGTTCGTGTAGACAAAGGAAAGTTCTATGTCTTTACAAAATATTTGAACTTCTTAGACAGAGACTTCAAGAAACGCCATGTGAAGTTTAGATGAAGTTCTTCTCCACTTTCAGAAAAAAACTTTTAAATATATGTAAATGGCAGAAAGACATAGTGGTCTATACTATTACGACTAAAAACCCTGAGTCATATAATTCTATAACAACAAACTTACAAAGTCCTCAAGGACGATATTGTAAACTAACCTTAAACACGATGACGACTAAAGCCTGTTTTGCTCTTTTGACACCAGAAGACTTTGTTGTTGTGAATGATAAAAAATACTCCTTTGAAGATACTTACTCAGATATACCACCAACAGGTTTTGTTGACTTATTTAATACTTTAAGGACGGATGTAACATGTGCTGCAACTAGAGCAGGTTTCATTATGTTTGGATGTCCGACTGAGTTTACTATAAACGATATGAGCTATAATACAAAACTTATATCTGGTTTTTACTACCAACAGTTTCCTATAACAGGAAAAGGTGTCATACAAGGTCTATCTGTTCCATTGACTTTAAGTACACCAATCTTATATATTGTTTCAAACTTAGGTTCAAAGTGCTATTCGAATGTCGACAGAAACTACTATGACCAAAAGATACTCATGCGTATAAACAACACTTTCTCTGCTGGTTTGCCTATTGTTCATTCGAATGCAGAGTTTTCAGCTTTAGTGAACTCAAACACTTTAGCAAACATAAACTTAACCTTAGTTGACGCAAACTTTGTTCCTGTAAAACTTTTATGTCCTATGTATTTGTCAATGACGGCAGAAAGTTTCGAATTGGAAGATGCAACTGGTGAAAGTATTGTACCACAAGAACAACTTCAACAACAAATAGCTCAAGAACAACTTCAACAACAAATAGCTCAAGAACAACAAATGCAACAAATGGAACAAATGCAACAACAAATAGCTCAAGAATAAAAAAAATATTTTTTTTATTTTTATAAAAAAATGTACAGAATAGACGTTTCAGATTTTTATGACTTCCAAGCGTTCAGAAATATGTGTCCATTTCGAGACTATAACAAAGCAGTCGAGAATTTGAAACGTTTAGTCATTTATGTCGACTCTGCCCCAGAATGTTATGTCATGAAAGAATGGGATGTAGTCTTTAACAAACCTAAAGCGACAATAGTTTCAGAACAAGAATGTAAACAGAAACTTAAGAAAATAAAAGTCGTACAAGTTGGTATGAAGATGTTAGATGCTTGGGATATCTTATTGTCAAAGTTAGAAGATTTTTCAGTTCGTGGTATAAAGTTCTATACACCTTCTCCAAACTTCTATTCTATCTTCACTGGATATAAATACGAACAAGTAGAATGGAAAGAAAATGTTATAGAAGCTTGGTTAGACCATGTCAAAGAAATTATATGCAATGGAAACGAAAGAGTCTATGAGTATATCTTATGTTGGTTTGCAAACATCTTACAAATCCAAGTGCTAAAAATGAAACTGCTCTCATCATAATTGGAAAACAAGGAACAGGTAAGAACACTTTCTTTACAGATATCTTATGCAAACTGTTAGAGGGCTATTCGAACCCGAATATGACAAACTTAGAAAACATCTGCGGTAAATTTAACTCTTCAATAGAGAATATGAAACTTATAGTATGTAACGAACTTCAAAGTATAGATACAACAAAGGTTTTAAACTCAGATGCTTTGAAGAGTCTCTTATAACAGACAAAGTTGGAGTTGTTGAAAGAAAATATAAAGACCAAAGAGTTTGTGAAAATGTTGCAAACTTCGTCATGGTTTCAAACAATGCCGTTCCGATGAAGTTAGAAAGTTCTGACAGAAGATATGTAGTTGTCAGAACGTCAGAAGCTCATATGCAAGATACAGAATATTTTGACGACTTAGCAGAAACTTTAACATCTGACTTTTACAACCACTTGTTCTCATATTTCATGACATTAGATATTTCTAAGTTCAATCCAAGACAAATTCCACATACCGAAGAGAGACAAACATTGTTAGAAGAACAAAGAGTGTATATGAACTGTTCATAGATGAAACTGACTTTGAGTGTTTAGATGAAAGGTCATTGTACGATTCGTATAAACAGTATTGTCAAGAGTATGGTTATATTACAGCGTCTAAACGAACATTCTTGGCAAATGTCAAAAGTCTTTTAGACGTACAGAATGGTATATATACAAAGAAAAATTTTTCTGAGTAAATTTTAAAAAAAATATTTTTTTATCCGATAGAAAAGATGACGAAATATATTTCAGTCAACAAGTACATGTCAGGACTTAAAGAAGAACTAGACCCATTCACATATTTGAATGTTTACTTCTACCATTTTGAAAAGTCTTCATTTGACAAAGTTTGGAACATCGAACCAGTTAAGTTTGCTATTGTGACTAAAAATGGTGCGAAATTTGAAGACTTAGACATAGAAGGTTTGTTAACAGTCAAAGAAAGTTTTGACAGAAGGTTTTCAAACCTTAAAGAAGGCAAAGCATACAAACTTGTTATACCTTATGAACCAAAAAAAGCAGACGACTATGAATATTATGAGTCTAAGATAGTTGAAGTTCAAGGTAAATTGGGTAAAAAGATTTTAGAGTCTAAGCCAGTGTTTGCTCCTAAAGAGGAAGAGAACATTGACATTGACCCAGAAATGTTCTAAAAATAAAATTTTATTTTTACATGTCAAATTTCTTTTTCTCTGGCTCTGGTTCTTTCTTCTCTTCTTCTACTTTCTTTTCTTTCTTTTCTCTCTTCTTCTTTTCTGGTGGAGTTATGTCAAACTTCTCAGAACCATATTTTTGTAAAAGTTCTTTGTCCTTTAATAGCTCTTCTATTCTGTTTTCTATTTCATTTTCAAGAACAGCGCATGTGTCTTCTTTGCATTCTAAGAAGTTTTGTTGGACTTCATCTCTCCAAGAGGCGTCATCTCTGTCAACAAGTCTGTCATTGACAAATTTTAAGACTTCTCTGCTTAAGGTTTTATGGTTCTTGTCATATTCCCAGAAACAGAACTTTAGAACAAATTCCCCTTTCTTGTTTACACTATGTAAGATTTTATGGTCGACAGATGTTTTGCTGTCGAAAAGCTTGTCTCGAATATAGATAGCGAAATCGCTAGACATTTCCTAAAAGATAAAAATTTTAATTTTTCTAAAAATATGTTAGAAAAAAAGTTTGCTGACATTGACAAGAAATTTGAGAATGTTTTAAACAAGAACAAGAGGAAGTTGGAAAATGCTCAGATAAAACCCATACATGACAAGTTCCTATTTGCTCAGAATGGATAACAGGTCTAATCGCACCACCTGGGTCGGGTAAGACTTTCACTTATCTTAAAATGGCTGCACAACAACAAGAACTAGATGAGAAGAACCCATTCTATGAGTTAGTAGTCATTTGTAGTACTTCTGGTCAATTTGACCAAACCGTCAATTCGTTCAAAGATATTATAAAAAAGTCTAAGTTAGTATGTATAAAAGATACTGAGTTGTTAGATTGGATAAAGAAGTACCAAAGAAGAGTTTTGAAGTACAATGCTATAAATGAGTATATAAATTCGAGGTTTAAAGACCCAAATGAGGAAATGCAGAGAATATTAGAGAAGAAACACTTCAGAAACAAACAGAAAGAGATAGAATACATTTCGAAGAAATTGCAATCTTACGATTGGAAGACTTACCCTC